TCACCAAAGCTACAGTACCAGGTCCGACGAGCAACGAACAACGCAGAACGAGAACGCTCCGACCATCCGGGCCGACATCTCCACCCACAACGTCTCCAGCAGGGCGGCTTGGCTTGAACTTGGTCGTCGATGTCGTTGTCTTAGCTGGCTCTGGCTCTGTAGCTGAAGGCGCCAAACCCGCTTGTGCTGTGCAGTCTGCAGCGTGCACCAGAAGAAACCCCGGTCCTGCCGCCGACCTCGTCCGCCCATCCATTTCAGGTATTCCTGCGGCGCACTCCCTCTCTACACCCACCACTACAATCTGCATCGCACCCCCAGGGCCCAGGGTTACAGTAGCGAGCGATCCAACCCGGCCACAAGCTAGGTTTAGGAACCTACTGTACCATACAGTTCCAGAGGAGACCCCAAGACACCCCAAGGGAAAATTACCCACCTACTGGCCGGTGTATCTCCACTCCGTTCCTCTCTCTCATCAATTGGATTTGTCCAACTTGTCCTGGAAAACTTTTATTATAGTCTTCTGCTCCCACGTTCCTTGTCTGGATTCGTTTTTCAGCCTCTTCCAGCTCTGCCTAAGCTCCGTCACGATATGTTACTGAAACTTGACTGTCCGGTTTAACAAAGCTTTCTCGACTCCGTTTCCCCAACCTCAATCCACTTCCTCTCTTAGCGTGGGAGCGCTTTTGCGGGACACTTACACACAAGCCTTGGATATCGGTGTCGATAGAAACCCACCATATCCTCCCTCCACCTTGGCCGGACTGAGCATAATCGACTCGAAGTTGGTCACCTTGGATCCTACATATCTGGCTTTCGTCAAGAAACGACCGTTTCCACGATCCTCTAGCTCGCTGTTTAACCTCAAGTCGACTGCACCTTGAGCCAGTCTGCACCCGCCAAAATGATAATTGATGGAGAAAAGTATGCTTGCGAGGCTTGCGTCCGCGGCCACCGCGTGAGCAACTGCCAACATTCTGGTAAGTCGGGACTCAAGACTGAAGCATGTTATGGGTTATCGCTCCCAGCCATTACCTTGGGCTGGATGTAACTCCAGTACTCGTCCATGGACATTGCTCCAAATTTAGCTCTGTTCTCTGTTACTGACCACAATCCTTCGATAGACCGCCCACTTCAGCACATCAACAAGAAGGGTCGACCAGTTTCCCAATGCGCTCACTGTCGCGCCATGCGTAAGTCGCGCTCTGCTCACGTCAAGTGCGACTGCGGCGAGAAGACAAGTAAATGTGCCCACTTGCAGCCAGCCGTTGAGGGGCACACTGGTGAGCTTCCTCTGGTTTCTCGAGGTGTTACAGACCTCGAGACGCTCGACACAATTCGCATTTTCTAAAACTTTCGCAGAGACATGTTGCTGTAACCATGGTGGCCCCTGCAGCTGCTCTCACAAGAACGAGCCTGCTCTTGACACCGTTCCTGAATCTGACTCGGAGCGCGAGTCTTTGACCCTCAGCATTAGTGGCCGTCCGAAGCCTCCGGGTCGACGACGACGAGCCAACACGGTCCACTCAGACGGGGTCTTGACCTTCGATCAGCATGGCAACCACAAGCCTGCTCACCGAAGCAACCGGGTCTCGCAAAAATGTGGCCCATATCAGCTTAACAGGGTGAACTCGGCTCACAGCACTGGCAGCTTGGGCGCCGAAAGCATGCTGCAGAAGAGCACACGGGAACCTCCCAGTAGCCGAGCACGCGCTGCTACCAACCGAGAGCGAAGGGTCAAATCAGAAACCGCATCGCCCCTGATGAGTGGTGCGAGCAGCTTCCAGAACCTCAATGGCAACCTGCCTCCTCTGGATCTTTCAGGCATTGAGTACCCTCCTTATATGGCTAACAGTACGTTTGATCTGTTTGGATCTGGTTTCAATTCAGAGACAGATGCCCCCATGTACAGCGCTGGTCTCAGTGCTGCTTCAGTCGACTGGAGCCACTATGATCTTTCAGAGATGAAGGGCGAGAGTTTCACGCCTTCCAGTTATAGCCAGGCCGGTACCCAGAGCTTCAATGGCCTCTTCGATTTCGGTAGCGGTTCAGAGCACCTTCCCCACCTGGCAAACACTACATCGACCTCGGGCGAGGTTTCCGAAGTGGAAGATTTTCTTCCCGGAGGAGACGGCGACTATGACGGCCTGGAAGGATTCAGCCGTGCCGATAGTTTCATCCGACAGAACGGCAACGTGATGGCCAACTCGACCGACCTCACTACCATCGACTACGACAGCTTCTACAAGGGAGCAGATAGTGGCCCAATGGCTGGAGCCGGTCTATCCATGGTTGAGGACGACCCTGCCTTCTGGATGCCCAATTATAACGAGGGCATCACTACAATGGACGAAAGCCCCGAGCCTCTCGGCCCTGCTTCAGTGCCTAGCTTCTGGGGCATCTGAGAAATTATCGAGCTTTCGAATATTTTGGCGTACACAATACCCATTCGGTTTTTTTATTTTAAGTCATTAGGGTGACGCACCGGCAGGCGTTGAAAAATACCAAACGAATTGAGGCCATGAGAGGCATGGCTTCTTTTACTCATTTCGCGTGAAGAGCGCAACATATATACGTTTTATACAGAGCGAATCTACGCTCACAACCACCCGCAAACCAATCGCATCTGCACGATGCCTAGGTTTCTTGCGGTGATGATTACGACAGACAACACTCTCATCCATGAAGTAGACGGTTTGAGAGTATTGATGAGCATGAGTTTTCCTACTATCGGCTAGGAGGGATGGAAAGGATAGAGCAGGCGCAGATGGCTTTCTGAATTATACAAGAAGCAGAGCAAGGACAAAGAAGAGACGAGCAGTGCAATTTGTTTGGATGATTTAGCTTGCGAAAAGAAATGTGATCAAGACAGACAAAATCCAGTTTGAAAGCAATGGCTAACGGACCATGGCAACCACACCAAGGGAAGAAGACTAAGTTGCACTGGTGGTCCGTCAACCTGCGCTCGATTTGATCTGCATGGGGAATTTACAAGCTGAGCGATGCAAGGAGGGATATTGCATATTCTAGACTCGTTTGTCAAGCAGTTATTGCATCTGTTGACTCAATTGTTCATCATCGTTCTTTGCTATTTTTGGTTCGATGTTTCTGCTTCTGGTCTCAATCTGGGTACGACGAAGAGTACTCGGCATGACTTGATTTAACGCAATAGACTTTTATGACTGAGGACCAAGACCAACCGAGTCGAGGTCCATGAGCCAACACCGCCAAATACCGTTCCACCATACATATTTACATACGTTGGGTGATTGTGTCGACATGCATTGAGGATCACTGACACCAGCTTGCTTCGAACTCCGACGGTATCACTTGTCATTGCTTCAAGACAACATCACACGGATCACATTGCAGCCCGTCGTCGGACGCCCGGAGACGAAGTGGTTCGACCAGCCAAGTTGCGTGGTGCACGAGATATCCAAAAGGATGCCCTCTGCTGTCTAGGGGTCTAATGCAAGAAGTGCTCAACCAACAACAATGACAGGTCTCTGGGCCTGATTTCAGAAACAGCCAGCGTTTCTTTCATATTGTTGGTGTCCTATAGGCCCGCGCTCGAGCCGCCACAGATGAGCACCCTATTTCCCCGTCATTTCTTTTCCTCCCCATGATTCCAGGGATCCCCAAGCCGGGGTCAACAGGGATTAAGGAAGACGTGGCACTTGGACCAGGACATCATCATCCTTCTGCATTCGATGTGTCGTGCTTTACGTACAAGCTCTGGTGATGTTCCTGGTTGTTTCTAGACAATGTCGATCATCCGAGGTCCCCATGAAAATAGTACGGAGGCTGGAAACTGTCATGAAAGATGTCACCAAAGACCCCACACACATGAAAGATTCGTTAGCACATCTACATGTACGCTACTTGCCTTTCTCGAGCTCGGAGATGCATACAGATAAAACAGACAGATGCACTTTGCTTTTTTCCGTGCTCTGCTTCTGTGTTGTACATGCATCTAACGGTCCATTCCGGGTCCGGGCCGGCACAGAAGCATCAGCTCAGTGATGCAGGGCCTGGCCTGGTCTTTTTCTTCCTGGCCTGCAGTCCAAGTTGCATTTGGATGGGGGCGTACAGCGCATGTACGTACTTCATACCAAGCAAAGAAGGTTTCTATACTGTTTCTGAAAATGGAAGCCAGGTATGGTACACAAAACATGCGTCTCGCATGTATGGGCCACGACAGCCAACCACACAAGCTAAGTAACTAACAACTTGGCAAGCAAAGCATAGCCTCAAGGATTTTTAGTCTAGCCTCTCTAGCCTCTTTATCGTTTACACGGCTAAGCTAAGCGGAGCCAGAGTCTCCACGGACTTTGTTACCTAACTACGGAGTACTAGGTAACCTTTGTCTTCGACTATGGAGTACTGACCGACGGCTTCACAACCAAGTCCTGTTAACCCTAAGTCCCTAACTAACAACTAGTCTATCGGTAGTCGAGTGGGAGAAGCCTCTAATTCGATAAAGACCCATTTACGTAAACTCGATTCTCCCATTACTCGTTTCCCGAACCGTCGGATTTTCTTAGCTTGGTCCGGTACTCGGAGAGGGAAGAGGTAGTGTCGATCAGGTACGGCTAGAATATGCAAGATTTTGACTTTGTCTCCCTCGACGCTACGTATGTAACAGTTCGAGCCATGATTGACCAGACAAGCTTGCGGACAGCGTGGGAAAAACTCTGTTTCGGAACCGCTACTGCACACAGAGTAGAGCTTCGGTTGTGCAGCGTTGTAATAGGACGGTTATGGGATTTCGAATATCAAAGTTGATAAGTATCAAAACAGTATCTCAACAAAACCCAAACGCCATCGTTCATGGCACAAGCTTGGCACTATCATCTACTGTCATCGTTCCGCTTTTTCCGTTACCCCAGTTTAACAAGTACCAAAAAGGGGAATAATAATCATACAAATCCCATCGCCTAACAATGGTCATCGCCTCTTCACACGTGTGTGTACAGGTCTTGTTGTGTTTTTTGAATGATGCTCTACGCCATATCCAAATACCCTGATGCCAACGATGGCCCAAATGAGATATCATCACCTCCCGGTGCGATGCCCTCATGTGCTGTGGCAAGATCTGCCAGGTGTTGAAGGCCTTGGCTCGCTGCCGCCTCCACTGATGATGTTGGACGCAAGAATTCCGAGAGTTTGTCGCGAACACCATTCCACATTTCGTTTGGCTTTTCCACAATGTCCTTGATCAGCTGTGTGGCTTCTTCTCGCGACTTGTCGATCTTGACAAGCTTCGCCAGAGACATCGTGATAAGAGACACAAAGTGATTGACGAGTGGACTGCGTAGGTGCTCGTTTGCAAAGAGAAGGTTGATCACTTCCTTGGTAGGCCATAACGTTTCGGTCGGCGTAGCGCCTGGTGTCAAAAGCACAACCATGAGCTTACAGTGCCAGTATGCTAGATGCACAACGGGATGCGACGTAGCCAAGATATGCGCAGGAAGATCTTCTCGGTAGTTCTCAACATAATCTGCGAGTATGCGTGCCACTATCTCCTCGGTTGTGGACATTCCGAGCTGCAATGTGAAGATAGCTTGCCACAGACAGTTGAGCAGCTTTGAAAGTCCTAGAGTCTCGGTCAGCGATCCACAATTACCTATAATGAACCAGTTATCACTTACGAGCAAGGTAAAAGCACACATCTCCCAGGATCTTCTCCAGGCCAGGAGGAGCAACTGTACTATTGTTGGGTATCATTGGTGGTTTTCCTTTGCCGACAGCATGCCAGCGGTCCATCAGGATCAATGACCACCATATCCGCACTGATAGCTGGTCATCTGAGTCCGAGTCGGACTCCAAAACCAACTCGACGGGAGTGTATCGCCAAAGATTAATCGAGTTGGCCAATCCAACTGCACGAGAAAGCAAGTACGGCAAAGTTGGTGAAGAACGCCAGTCTGCGTCGATAATAAGCAGCAATAGCGTCTGGGCATGCACAATATAGGTGGCTTGTGTGGCATGGGTTTCATCGCTCTCGCGTTCCATAAGTAGCAAGCTAGCGAGCTTTGTGTCACCGCCGGATCCTACGACAGCGGGAAGAGCATTGGCAAATGCATTCTGGACCGATGTTGGGCACTGCGCGAGTAGCGCCTGCATTCGATTCTTTGTGCTTGGCAATATCGGATACACAGGGCCAACAGTTGACAAATAACTGAATAACGACATGTTAGTTGCGGAAAAGGGTTTCGGTGACGGATCACTAACCTCTGTAGCATGCTTTCGTCGATGTCAACGGTCTCATGAGCATCTGACATTGACACGTCCATAGCAGCCACGGGAGGTTTAGAGGGCGTACTGTCTGGCCTAATGGGTGTACCTTGGGGTGCCAACGAGTTGTTGTTGTTGTAAGCTGAATATGCTTCAGAAGTCCCTGGCGAGGCCTGCATCCTGTGGTCCGAGCCCCATGGCATTTGTCGCGAGGGTGTAACAAAATCGTTTGTCGAGATACTGGAAAAGGGTCGTTTTCGAGCAGCATCCTCGCCTTGGCTTTGCCGAGGTCGATCTGTGGAAAAGAGTCTGTCGATGTCGTCTTGGCTCAGGCCTCCATCGGACTCGAGCTTGTTTTCGATGCTATGGATGCGATCTGCAAGTTCTTTGATATATCTGTTGAGGCTGTCAGTTGTTGCCTTTCAGTGCGTAATTGCTTGCAGGTATCAAAACCATACCCTTTACTTGGACCCCTTTTCTGCGGTACGCGGCTGAATAGGCATCTAATGGATGATCTAGCACAACTGGAACAGGGAGCGTCCCCAGTATCTGACTGGGCGTCACACTTAATCTTCTTCCTCCGACACTCGTCGCAAGCCCTTGACACCTTTGATCGTTTTCTGGGTGGGATGCTGTTGTCGATAGGGTACTGGGGGCCCATTGGTGGCCCAACAGAAACAGACATGGCGTGCGATACCATTTGGTCGCTCGTCGGAGTATCGTGAACATAGGACGGTGTCTGCTGCTGCTCGGGGTCAGGGTGAGGCATGATGCTTCGCAGGTTAGGGTCCTCGACGTTCATGTTGGGGTCTGTGGCTGACATCATGGGCGCTCCAGCTAGACCTTGGCCTAACTGGGCTGCCAGCTGAAGCTCTTCCAGGTTGGCAGGACGGGGAACGTGCTGCTGAGGGGTTTCCGGTTCTGGAGGTTGCAGGTCATTCTGATTGTGCTCTGGAGCTTGCACGTGTTGTACTTGTTCCGGCGCATGATGGTCTGGCTGTTCATGATGAGGCTCGTGATGGGACTCATGATGCTCATGATGCTCGTGCTCTTGGTGGTCTTGAGGGACGTCTCGGCTACTAGTGTTGTAAAAAGGGCCAGCTTCCATTGCCTCAGTGCCGGGCGAGGGATATGAGATATTGGCATCCTCTGCCTCGTTTTCTAGCTTTGTACTCATGGCTACAGCTGGCTTGACATGCAGATGGTACAGTCGGTTGGCACTCGGGGTATTTTACGGGCGAGGACGATCGTCAATCAACACAATATGTGGAGATGAGTATTGATAGGCGTAATGCTTCAATTGTTGCAATAATGAGGCGCGATATGACGGCGTTCCACCAAATTAAGCCCTGCGCGACGCGCGACGATATCACTGGACGAAGCCATTGTTAGCAATAGTTCGACGCGATGTTGACCAAGTGCACACGATCGCGAACCAAGCGGGGGATGTCACGGAAAGTGATTTTGCAGGCAGACGCGACGACATGATTGTGTTCGTGCTGTTGATTAGGAAAGCTATATCTTGGTCATGGCGACTTACACGACTCTTGTTCTGGGATCTCGGAGCTGGATAAATGCGATACGACGGCGACGCCTCGACGGAAGAGGAAGAACTCGGCCCCGATGACTTGGATGGGCTGCCCTTGTGTGGGTGTTTTTGACAAGATCACGGAGAAGGAAGAATTTTTCGGAGTCTGGCGGGAAATGCTCGGCCTCAATTTGTGCTCGCTTAGTAAGCTACCCTAGAGCTCGGTGTCATCCATAGACTGACAACCACCATGTAATTAATCGTTGAGGCAGTCATGATCATTCTATCAGCTTCATAGAGCATAAAGATAATTTCAGGGTCCCATGATGTATGAAAGTCAAGTCTCTCTCAGCCGCTTCAATTTATCAGCTCGTGAATATCCATTCCATCCCATACCAATACAAGCCATCGTGTTCTGGACAGTTGAATCAGATGGGAAATACAGATATACGAAGTTGCAGTCTTGTTGTTCTGAAGAGCAACTCAATCATAAGAACCACCTTCAGGAATACGAACCCCCCAGAAACGATATGTGGAAGCCCCATGACTTTCCTAGGATACATAGGTTTACGAACCCTGGGTTCCTTAAACTATACGTACACCGAGGGACTTAACAAGCCACGATCGAAGTTAAAGGAAGCTGGAATACTAAACAGCGCGAAAGGGGTGGAATAAAGCCCGTGCCATGTCCCTGAATGCATCCTACTGGGGAATAGTGAAGAATCATACCTGTATTATACAAAGTCTCCCCCAAGCTTAGGCCCCCTCGAGATGTTTCCTAAAACTTGAAGTCGTGTAGGCAGGCAACCATGCAAAGACCAGTCAGAGGGCACAACTATATAGGATTGAAGCGAACCCAGTACCCAAAAACACGATGTGAGGTGAGAGTCTTTGACACCTGAAGACCAGGGGCTAGTAAACAACAACCTGCCTATCTCTCGTTAGCGCACCTGGAAACGTTTCCGCATATGTTGTGTAGCCGCAAGATCTTCATTAAGGGACGACCTGAAGATGGAAATAGCAGCGGGATGGTGTATTGTAGTTCGAGCTTAAAGCTTAAGTTAAATATTACTGTAGTTACGCGGTGGGAGTGGAGGTCACAACAGGTCACTTGTAAGTGACATTAGTGAAGAGGTAGTTGGGCTGCAGTAGCATTTTTGTTAATTCATCGTTAATGCTCAGAGCTTCCTGCTATGTAACAGGACTCGGTCTTTTAATGTTTCCGACGCTAGGTTTAACAGTCGATGTAACCAGACAGGATGGGGTATTGGCTGGCTTTAAGTGATATCTGTGATAGTGTCTTTGATGCCAACATGGAATGAGAGAAAGGGAATTATAATAAGTTGACAAGAAGAGCGCTGGATCAGCGCAAATTGAATTGCAGCCAGTGGTTATCTCAAAGGGCTCCCGCCATGAACTCATTGGGGGTTGAAAGGCTTTCTTGTCCAGTGGTCATTGCTTGGACAAAATCCACCTGTACAAGGTAAATTGGTAACCATGATCATCAAGGTTTCTAGACTGACCTGAAGAAGCGCCGGAATACCCCCCCTTAACTTGGGCCTGGGTCTCTGGGGAGGGATGTCTGAAAAACCTCAACTGTTAGGGTTACATGACCAAGGAAATGCTGGCACATAGACTGGAAGCCATATCTGATACAACCAAAGCTGCTAAGCTTTCGGATCTGCCCTCTGGTGTATCAGGATGCTAGCTACCTACAGGCCCTGTCGACACCACGGCTGGATGGCACGTTGAGACTTTTGATGTTGTCTCAATAACCCCTGGCAGCCACATTCTCGGCGTTGTTTTCCGCGGCGGAGGCTAGCGGGTAAGTCGATACCCTTGTGATCCCAGATGAGGTCCCCGCTTGATTGTAAATAAAAATCAAGGATCGCTCATCAGCGGTTGGTAAAACGCAGGAAGTTATGTATGTTTTCTTCTGTTGGTATTTGCTTTACTTCAGACGCAGCCGATGAGACAAGAAAAGCTATCTAATAACTCATAGATGAATCGTCACTCGAAGAAGGTTATATAATTAGTGGAGTGTCGGTGACGAAGTGATGGAACGAAACTGCTTGCTTTTTGCCTCGACAATTGATACATAAGCGACTGGCAAACAATCAGCCCACACTTTTTGCTTTTGCTTTTGCACTTTGGGGGTCTAAGGGGTCGAGGCAACCACAAGTCGAACATCGGCCTTTCACTTTGATGCAGCTGAATATAGTCTCCGAAACCCACTTACACGAGCAATTTGATACTTCGAATGAAATATCTCGGCTCAGTGACAAAAGTTGTCCCGAGTGAGAGGCCGGAGGCGTTCGAAACATGGAGACTTTTGAACAAGTGGAGCCCTGGGATAGGAGAGTGGGTGCATTCAGAAGAGTTCCGGGAACTCCTAGTGGGCCAAGGAGCGCTATAACAGCCCTGGAAGCAAAGTGTGGTTGCAGCCGGAGCGGCAGTCGTGGGATTAATGCTTGGGCTGATTGATTGGATTGGATGGACCAATTTCGTTGACGATTCCAGAATCTCTCGAGTCTTGTCCTGAAGGAGCGGCTCTTGTGCACCATTGGCCTTCGACTACCTCAGTAGTTAGAGCGAGTAAGGACATGAGGTTCTAGAGCCCTGCATCTCGTCTTTCTTGCTCGGGCTTTCTCTCGATTAGCTTCATCTTAATCAAGCCATGTCCCCTAGTTGCTCTATGCTTACCTACCTTAGGTTGTTAGGGATATTTGTTGAAACGACCTGACCCTACGCCGCGATAATTCTCCTTATACCCGCGCTGATGTTATGGATCCCTGAGTTAATTACCCTATTAACCTAGTTCCCTAGGGCGACAACTGGAGGTGCACGTACGTACTACGTAGTATGTACATACGTAGTATGGATTTTATCCTTGAACCTTGTCTCGCTCGCTCTGAGCAATGCATGCGCGCATGCATGCAAATGCAAATGCAGGGCAAGGCAAGCTTGTTAGTTGATTCGGCGATATGACAACCGCAAAAGTCCCTGCCATGGCCTGCTTTGACTTACCTCCTTTGCTTCTAAGGTTTCCTGCTAAGTTTATTTCGTAACCCGCGCGTTACCTTACCTCACCTTGTCTTACTGTCTACTGTAGCATCCACTCGCTCGCTCGCTTGTTCGTTCGCTTTCACTCTCTTTTCTCTTGTCTCAGGCAATTTTTGATCTCCGAGTATCCCGTCTCTCCCTTTTTTTGTTTTTGTTTTTGTTGAAACGCCCTTCTTTCCTTGAAATGGCATCATCGGCTGCCTGTCTCTTGCCGTAGGGTTTCGGGTTATTCTCTCTCTTTCTCTCTCTCCTGCTTCACTTTTCATTCTTAAGCAACAACACACTTTCGACTGGAGCTTACACAGCGGCATTACACTTTCAATGACGCAGACAATAAACCTTTCCCGTCGTCCCACAGCAACTGATCTCCCTTGTCACTTTTTAAGTTGGGTCGCACAATTGTCGACACCAACCTCACCCATCCCAACATGTTGCTAAGCATGGATGTCATGAAGGTGCGGGATTGGACCTATCTTGAGGACCCCCCTCAAGACATTGGCCCAGCTCGACATCTTCTTGAAGTTTACAGCAAGATTCCTTACAACGATTTAGATGGCCACATACGCCGCGTCGTAAGTACATGTCCCTGAACACTAGCACATGAGCTGATATGACCTTTTGCATTCAGCGAGAGAAGGCCTGGTGTATCTCCCAGTACCCTTGCGTTGGGCGATGGAAATTTCTCTACATCCCGGACCCCAAAGATCCTCGTTACCAACAAGCTCTTTTCCGCCTCAACGTCGCCGGCTCTAGAGATGTCCTTCTTGATCTGGGATGTGGGGTTGGTCAAGTAATTCGGCAGTTTCGTGCAGATGGAGTTGACGGCGCTCAACTCATTGGCACAGACCTGCAGTCCAAGTTCATCGATGTTGGCTACGATTTGTTCCAGGACAGGCACTCCCTCAACGCAACATTTGTTGCGGGCGACATGCTCGATCCCGCCGACAAGGAGATGGCCTTGTTGCGCGGCAAGATCACCATGGTTCATGCAGGCAGCTTCTTTCACCTCTTCAACTGGGTTCAACAACTTTACATTGGCAAGCGTGTCGTCGAATTCCTTAAGCCCGGCACCAAAAACGCGCTGATATATGGTCGCCAGGTCGGCACGAACCATCCAGGGCCGTCTTCGACTAGCACGCGATCTGCTTATTTACACGACCAATCGAGTTTCCAGCGACTATGGGACGAAGTCGGAGCCCTCACCAAGACACGATGGCAGGTACAGGTCGAACCTACTGGAGAGCCTGTCTCCAAAGTCCCTGGTTTCAGCAATCACGCATTCCCCGTCAATTTCACCGTCTACCAAGTTTCATGAGAAATTGCTCCAATGCGATTTGCATCATAACAGCTTAACCGGAATGAGCGGCGATCGCATTTCGACCCTGGTCCCGCCTCATTTCTCCTCTTATCCGGCGACTTCAACCCTATCGTGAAGCTGACATTCTCCCAAGCAGCTTTTCTACTTTGGGTTGGTCCGCATATCGACTCATACTAGCGTCTTCGCGTTTAGTATTCCCGGCTTGATCCACGACCAAGACCACGAAATGATGAGGTATCGAATATTTTGTACTCATTGGCTCGTCTGT